GCTGTTGGTTTTCTTGGTTTTCTCATTAATTTCATTGGTTCCCATTTCATAACCGAAGGTTGTGAAACTTTATGTTCAACATCATCATACTTAATAATATTTGGATTTGTATACCATTCTCCAAGTACTTCTGGACTTACATACCTTTCTCTTACTTTACATATGTGTGGGTCATCTAAAATATTTCCATATTCTCTTTTCATTACACTTTCTGTAAAATTTGATATTCTCCCAGAAACAATCATATCAACATCATCATATGGTGATAATATCTTTTCTATCCACTGTGAATAAATTACATTTTCTTCTTCATTCGTTGAGAATACTACTTGAATTGGATAATCATTAGAATCAAATAAATCAATACATTTTGAAATTGTTTCTTCATATGATTTTATATAGCTACTTTCAGGATTAAATGAAAAAATTTCAAGTTTATTAATATTACTTGAAGAAGAACAATATACACTATCATCCTTTGAAGCATAATATTGGTTTATTCCTTCTTCTCTTTTCATTCTTTTAATCATTTCATTTTCGGATTTTATTTCTTCTAATGTTATCCTTGGCTCAAATCTTTGTTTAAGTTGCTTCATCTGAAGTGGTCTTTTCATTGATATACTCGATAATGGTAGCTTTAATATAGAATATGTAACACTTACACTTTCTCCATTTTCCCATATAATAGTTATTGGTGTATTTAAATATTCTTTTGTTAATGGTATTTCTTCTAATATGGCAAAAACAAATGTTGAACATGCTTTTTCAAATTGTGCATGTGGAGATTTAAATCCTATGTATTTCTTTCCAAATTTCCGAATAATATCAAATGGATCTTCTCCATTAATTGTTTTAACTGCTACATTTTCATTATTAATCACTTCTTGTGGAACATCAACAGAAATACCACCAGTCGTGCTTCTTTGATGTAAATACATTTTCTTATCATCATTAATGTATATTGAAAATGGAAGGAAACTGCCTAATACCTTTAGGATTAAATTTGGTTTATAAACAGTATAATCCACACCAAAACTTAAATGAGAATCTCTTGTTGAAACAATAAAGTTTTTAATTTGAGAATAGAAATCATACATACTTGTTGTTCTTACATTTATTTTATTTAATTCTGAATCAATATCAATTTTATTATAATAATCATCTGAGAATGCTGGTTGTGGTGGATTCTTTAATATATCTTTAAAAACATATGATTCTAAATAATATTTTAATCCATTAATAATATCACTGTTTTCTTTTTCTGTTGTTTTAATTGATTCAATACATTCAAATGCACTATCAACTGTATCTATTTCATACCCTTGTTTATAGTCATTACATTGTTTTGATAATGAAAATCCAATGAATAGTAAAATTAAAATGTTCATATTTAATGAATATATATTTCTGATTTCGTTTAAATATTCATTTGTCTTTATTTCCATTAGTTCCATTAGTTCATAAAACGTCATCACTAAATGTTTGTGATTCAATAAAAATTACAATTATATTACAAACTTCAACTTATTATTCTTTTGTTTTGTTTTCTTTTCTCATGTTATTTGTTTTGTTGAATTTCTTCTCTTTATATTAACATTATGTTTATTCTTTTTTTTAGCGTTTTATATTCAAAATTGAAATAAACATCATTCAATTTTAGTATTATCATATTATTAAAAAATAAATTCTTATTTACATAATTGTTTGTTATCCAAAGAGGATTCAGAAACAATTATGTAAATAACATTACAATCAATATTACACATATTTTATTCAATTTGATGTACTAAATATATATTGTAGATATACCATTGAAAGTCTATAAAATATTTTTAAATTTAGAATTAAAAAAATGTATTTATTTAAATTAAATGTATAATAAATTGTATTTATACATATTCAAATTAATTCTTCATTGAGAATAAATGTGATAATTTAGTATATCCTCATTTATCTACTTCATAACTGAATGATGTTTAACATTTATTATCAAATTTCGTATGAAACAAAAAAATTGATGAAATTAAATAAGTGATTAAATTATAAGGGAATTAAAATAAGCAATGAAATAATGCATTTAAATATTTTGCAAAAAAGAAAAAAGAAGCAAAATAATTTGCGTCCATAGAATATTTAAATTTATTATATTTTGCTCCTAAAAAATAGAAAGTATGATAAATATACAATATGTATATATTTATGTTTATATGTTATAATCATTTATA